CGATAACGGGAGGGGTTAATCCTAGGGGACTGCAGAGCTTACAACTGTGGCAAACCGATGTAACCCACTTTTCAGAATTTGGTCATCTAAAATGTATTCACTCTTCCATTGATACCTTTTCTGGTGCCCTATTTGCCTCCTGCCACACAGGAGAAAAGACACGTGATGTTCAAAAACATGTAATGCGTGCCTTTGCCACTTTAGGTATACCCTCTCAAATCAAGACGGACAACGGCCCTGCCTACGTGTCCGCCACAACAAAAGCCTTTTTTAACTCCTGGGGGATTACTCACGTTACTGGCATTCCTCACTCCCCTACAGGCCAATCTTTAATTGAACGCCCTCATCAATGTCTAAAACGTTTATTACAACAACAAAAAGGGGCAGTAGGGACTGCTACCCCTGAGAAGCGTCTACAGAAAGCCTTATATGTTTTTAATTTTTTGAATTGTTCTCTGTTAGACATCAACTCTCCGATAGTTCGTCATTTTAATACAAACGCTTTGTTTGAAGCAACAATCAAGGCCCCAGTATTGATTCGAGATCCTGAAACAGGTAAGATCATGGGACCTTACCCCCTTATCACGTGGGGCAGAGGTTATGCTTGTGTTTCCACAGAAAGAGGCACCCGATGGATTCCAGCGAAAAGCATGCGGCCTTTCCGTGAATTGTTGCCACAACCGTCTGAGGACAAATCGGATCGCACCCAGGACCAACCTTCAGAGCAGCAAGTCGGTGACCCTCCTCAAGAGGACCGGGACAATCAGGACGGTTGAATCATAGACATAGAAGGACTGTATGAACCAGTGTACAGAGACACCAGTCACGAAAGTTTCGTGTCTTTTCTGTAACACTTGTGAACCATAGGTTTTGTGTAAATGCTATAAAGACAGCAGTGCATTATCGAATCTTTTATTAGACGTAGATAGTGTTCGTCATGCTACATTACAAAATAGAGCTGCCATAGATTTTCTGCTTTTAGTACAGGGCCATGGCTATGAGGACTTTGAGGGCATGTGTTGCATGAATCTTTCCGATCACTCAGGATCAATCCATGCCAGCATCCAAAAGCTTAAAGATGGGGTCTCCAAACTCCGTCAGGATGACAGCTGGGATTGGTTAGATAAACTTTTTGGGGGATGGGGTCTGTCTGGGTGGTTAAGGAGCCTAGTAAAGATGGCAGTGTATGCTTTGGCTGTTTTTATTTTTCTGTTATTACTCCTTCCATGCCTGTTGCAGTGTTTGCAAAAACTAATAACACGCTCGATAAAAAGGGTTCTTATCGTGCAACAGGAAGGGGGAGATGTAGGTCTCAGCAGGGCCCCCAGTGTGGCACAATTGATAAAGGAGGACGTGCTGGAACTCGTTGGCCACAAGCCCTGGGAAGAAACAAGATAGTGCCGAGTCTTCCTGGAGGAGGAAGTATTGCCCTAGTTAAGATAAACTTAAGGAATGTGTCTGTTAAGATAAGCTTGAAAAATGTGTGTCTGCGCCAGCGTTTGTGTTAACCAATTAATGAGTGCCTAGTTTGAAACATAACCAATCAGCTTAAAACACGCCATCTTCTGAGATCTGTATAAATATGTGTACAACGGCAATAAAACGAACATTCTGCTTGCATCAAGCAGGTGTCCCATCTCTCAGTCGCGGCACCTGATGGCCACAGGAGGGAACTTCCTTTCTGTTGTGTTCTCAGGACAATTCTCTTCCTCCTCCTCTACCTGCAGACACCCACTGCTTTCTATTTCTAGGCTCACACATAGTTGTAAGGGTCTGTTGAGGTCATCAGCCATCTCCTTGTTGCTCACTGACTTCCCTTGACCTCTCTCCCATACCTACACATGGCCAAGCAGTGCTGTTCAGAAGAGGCCCTGAGCTTCCTCGATTTTCCTGGTGATTATCACAGTCTTCCTCTCTCCCTCCAGAGCTTGTGGTGTGCTTTCTTACCCATAAGACAGCCTTTATGACCATCTCTTATGAAATGGTAGTCTTTTTATAATCTTCTGTGCAGAAAGTGTGGTAACAGAAAAGCACAAAATACATTGAAACAGATGCCAAGTGAAGTGCCCTTAAGAACCAGGTGAGCTACCCCCACGCCTGCGGCTTCCTGGCAAGGGGTCTGCCCTGAGGAGGAGATCCAGCCTCTGCCAGTCTCGGAAGAGGGAAATTAGCAGTGGGCATGCTACCTGGGGATTCGAAGGGTGACTTTTGCAGGACCGCACTTGCTCTGAACCCCTTCAGACATGTAATTGTGGATTGGATATCATGCCTTGTATTGCAACTACTGATTCCATTGGCATTGCCCAGAGGGGCTACCACAGACGCAGATTGCTCCCCTGCAGATATCTATATTTAGGCAGATTAACACTTCAGTGGTTGTTGTTGGTTTTGTAGATATTGATACCCTTAGCCAAATCAAATAAACAACAAACACTTGAAGGATAACTGGAGGATCACCACCTTAGTGGCACTCCAGTGAAGTGATTCCTCTTTGTCATTATCTCACTGTCATCGTGCAGGCTGTGGAGGAAAATGTGCTGAGCAAAGGGTAATAATCACTTCTTTTGCCTGGGCTCCTGCTCATACAGTCCAGGATGCTGTTGGCTACCATTGCTGTTGGCTCCTGGTTTGCCTGATGAAAGTTAAAGACCACAAGAGCCATTTCCACAGAGCTGCTGCCCTGCCACACAGCTCCTGGCCTCTGTCATTGCAGCCTGTACTTCCCCTGCTCTGTCCTCAGGTCTCAGTAGAAGATGTATGAAGAGTTGCTTTTTGCTTTCTCCAGTCACCATGAACTTCCAAAATGTGTCACAGTAGCCCTACTGTGACATTGGCCTGATCCCTCAACATCCTTGGATTCATCCCATCTGGTCCAGTGGGCTGTTAAGGGTTGACCTTACCTAAGGGACCTCTGACTTGATCTCCGTCCACTGCTGGGTTTCTCCTAGGGTTCTTCCTCTTAGGCACCTGGAACGGGGAGACCTTGCTGGCAGATTCTGAAGCAAAGAGGACACAGACAATCTCACACTCATTGACCTCCCCTCTTCCTGAATTCAGCAGTGGCCACACACTAGCTTTGTTTCTGCTTTAACTGCTCTAAAGGAGTGACAGCTTGTTGCTGTGACCTTGAACTCCCTTGCAAGTGTCATCTCTAGGGGAGCTCTGACTTTTCTAAAACCAACATTTCTGAATTTCTCCTTCATTTCTATCCTTGCATCCACGTCTTGTATGTTTCCTTTTTCACATGGAGATTCCCTATGAGTTTCCTCTTTTCCCAAGCTTCTCTCCTGATAGCTCTGCTTGTTTTCCTGACTACTGACGTGCACAGTCTCCTGCTTGAGAGACACTGTCTTTGAAGAGCAGCTGTACTGATATCTGCTGCCCTTGTGTACTGCTCATATGGGCTACCTCACTGACAGTCGCAAGACTTGGCCAGAGTCTGCTTATCTTTATATGGGACAGAAATGTTCTCAGCATAGTGATGCTTAGGTTGTAATGACATAGGACAAAAATGCTTCAGTCACAGTGATATTGTTTAATTTAGGCCAAAATACTTTGTACAAACAATGCATGCCTTACTATCAATTATGCCCTCCAAGAGGAACTAAGAGACTGATAAAAGCGGAACATCCAGCCCAGAAGGCACCGAAAGCTGGACGATTGCCAAAGAAGCATGAAGTTAGCTAAGATCAAGGGTAACTAGGAAAAAGGTAAAGGCGGCAGAGGGAGATCACGACCACCGACTCAATTCAGAACCAAAAATTCTGCACCCCCCCAGCTTGTGAGCATGCATAGTTAAGTAAGGAAGGAGTATACTTCTATGATAAGCGTGTAATGTGATGAACCAATCAGAATGCAATGAGTAATTTCTTTGGTTTTTTTAAGAGTATATAGTCCTTGTGACTCTGCTAAGTGGTGTGCTAGCTTTGTGGAATTATCATCTAGCACCCACATCTGTGCAAATCTGACAGAAAGACAATACCTCTGCTCTGTGTGTATAATGGCTTACTGTGCACCGGGTAAACGACTACACTTTTGGGACAACAATCTGAGGTCTAGCATCTGCACTCCTTTATTGTCATTCCCCTTGGGAGGTGAGACCCCATTATTTCATGGTCATGGCAGTCAAGGCTGACACTGGTTTTAACATCCATGATCAGCTCTCCCTTCTCTGTGAGTAGCAGATGCATATGAGCATCAGCATTGTTGAGCAATCTGGCAGCTGAGCTATAAAGACCTGTGTCCCAAGCTGTGTCTTGACCAAGAACCTCCAGAAAACTCCAGGACTGATTGCATGCTGTTGTGGTCCCCTTCCAGGGAATGTCAAAGTGATTAAAGTCAGCAAAAGGACATTAATTTATTCTTTATCTCCCACCACAATGTCACCCTTACCAGTCTCTCCTCTGAATCTGACCCATAAGGGCTTATCCAAATTGTTCATCCCATAGAGGAGCTCCACATATCAGAGCAGCTCCTTCACACTGAGGACACCTCCCTCCTGATCTCTCTGGCCTGTCTCTTCTTTTCATCCTGTATCCACCCATTACAGCACCCCAATCATGTCAGCTGTCCAAACATGCCTCATCAGTTCTTCCCTCCAAGTGGTATGAAGTGATGGCCTGCAGGGTTCCAGCTCCTCCTCTCTGTGCCCCAGGCTGAGGCCATTGGTGCACGTCTGGGCTGCAGCACCTCAGCTGTGGCACATCTGGGCTGAGAGCTGACTTGCAAAAAGAAACCTGCTACCAAGTGCCCAAGGCCTTGTGTGTGCAAAGGCTTTGCTTCAGAGCAGAGACGTGGTGGAGGGGATGGCAGATGGCAATGTAAAGCAGAAATGAGGTCCCCAGCAAGAGAGCAAACCCTGCATTCCACAAGGCCAGGAGGGGCTTTTGCTGTCTGTTGTGTCTCTGCAGCCGTGAAGGCCTTAGGTGGAGGTGAAGCTGACATTAGGAAGGAAAAAAGGATGTTGAAAATGTCCTTGGGTGTGGACATCTTGTGATCCAGGGACACTGTGAAAATCATTGGCCTGATCCATGACTGTATGATCAAGCAAATAGTTAAATGATGGAGGGGAGAAGAAGCAGCAGAGTTTGAGAGCGAATGCCCTCAAGTGGAGACCCTGCTGTGATGTTCTTGGTGTTCATGCACTGCCCTGCGTCCAGTGGGTAGAGAAGGGAGAGACCTTGCGTCACTGCAGTGGTGGGATTCCGTGACTGCCCGAAGGCACCAAATCTGTGTGAGATGCCCTGGGTGGTGCCTGTCACACAACGAAACTGAGGGGGGATGGGGTTTCTGCACAGGACCTGTGCTGTCCATGTCAAGTGCATGCAGTTGTGCTGGAAGCCTTGGCACCTTACATAGTCATAGATGTCTGTAAATGTGAAATAAATAAAGATTCGGCTGCCCTGAATGAGGTTAGGCAACGAAGGGATGCGCAGGAGATCAATGCCATTATACTGTTCAGGCCATGTGGACAATACAGCTGATGGAGAACAGACAGGGAGAGACTTGGCTCTCCCTGTGCCATACGACTCCATTTGGTCAGACTGATTACATCTATAGGCAGCCCTGAACATAAGGAATATTTGCAGATTCAGTTGTCTTAAATGTGGGCACTTTCTGTCATTTAAGTTGGCGAAAGGCATTTCCCACCAGCCTCCAAGAAGGTGCCTTCAGACACTACCCTGTCTCTATGAACTGCTCCATTAGAGCTTGCAGTTACCAGCACACATCTTGGTCATCTCTGGAACCAAACCTGGCACCAGGTGTCTGTGTCTGA